ATTGAACTGTTGCCCGGAGCTCCGCTACCCACTAGCCGGCTGTATAATATCTCTGGTCCCGAAAGAGTGACTATGAAGGAGTACACTGAGGCTTCTTTAAAGAGCGGAATCATCCGTCCGGCCGAACAGCAGCACGAACATGAGTGTGTGTGAGCAGAGGAGTACAAATGAACACAGCAACATGAAACAGATCAGCAGCAACATGAAACAGATCAGCAGCAACATGATGTGATTTTTCACAGTGATTATTCTGGTTAGAGATTCATGAGTCTAACAGCCTCAGGGTAAAAGCTGTTCCTCAGTCTAGTGGTTCTACATTTAATGCTCCTCAACCTCCTTCCTGAGGGGAGTGGGGCAAAAAGTGTGTGCTGGGTGAGTGGGGTCCTTCATGATGCAGGTGGCTCTCTATTAACATCGCGTTAATAGGAGTTGCTGCCAGATCCAGATAAAATATTAGCCAATGTATGATATTTTTAGGCATCAGTAAAAATGTGCGTTTTTAATTGTAAACAAAAGCATGTTTTTACATTTATAAAGCGTACCCTTTATTCTGAAGGCAAACCCCTGAATTTCCGGTGGCCTTCAGCGTAACGTCAGGCTGCTTCACGGCAGCAGCTGATTGGTTGAGAACGTCCACCCGGAAGAGAAGTTGGACGTACGGCAGATCTGCAGTGCAGTCTGGGAACTGTCAGTCCTTTAGCTTTGTGTCTGTTTATGGTTCATTCACTCGCAGCAGGGGCAGTTCGAAGAGGAAATAAGAACATGTAGGAAATAATTACCTCCTAATCGTCGGGTATCAAGACATATTTTGCTCATGGATGAGGACTTGGCTAACGGCTGACACCGGAACCGGCCCATGATCTTTAAGAAGCTGCTACACAGGTAGCATCCTGGACATTTACTGACGCTGCTGTCCGTTCCCAGTCATCGTATCGGATCCATGGTTGAATGACATGCTTTGTTTTATAAAGGTAAGGGTCGTTTGTTTTATTTTTGTTATATTACATAGAGTCACCATTCAAAATTTAAGGTGAAACAAATTAAACCAGCTGTTAGCTAGCCTAAGCCTGGATCGTTATTAAAGTTACATTTATGGCTAACAATATCGTTAAAACATTTGGGGTTTTAACCTTGTTTCCCAGTACTACACTACTCACCGGAAGTAGGACAACCTGCCCCGCACCTGAGTTGTTGTTGACACTTTGGATCACACACCTGTACAAAGCTAGCTTGAACGAGACTTTTCATCCTTCTGAAATGTTCACGGCTCGATAAAACGTCTCAAAGCTCTCCAATAACCGTGTGACCTGTCCTCGCGCCTCAGCCCCTCCATTAGATACACCTGTTCAACTGCGGTCACGTGATCTGCTCAGGCCCAGGAGCCATCGAGGTGAGATCATCGGGTCGAAAAGGCACGTTGTAGTCAGAACCAGGCGTGGTTTCTGAACTGGATCTTGGATCAGTGGATCCTAAAGTTGTGGTCTGGCACCCTGCTGGGGTGGTGAAACAACAAGAGGGGGTCCAGTTCTGTTCACTGCCCTGAGATGGCTTCTGCTGTGACTTGGAGCTATATAAATAAACTGAATTGAACAATCTGGTTACATTTAATCAGGACTGCTGATGCATTGTTTTCTGTATTGTTGTCTCAGCAGCCATGTTGAGACAGTGTTATAACATTGTTTATTATGTTTTCTTTAGTATGGAAACACTAATAAAACTCTTTGGCTCTTTTAGGAAGTTGAAAAATGGTTTGGACAGCAAAGAAAAACAATTCAGTTTATTTATACAGCGCCAAGTCACAACAGAAGTCATCTCAGGGCACAGAACAGAAACATCCATATATTAAAAAAAAAAAAAGTTAACACTATTTATCTGAGGAGCAGACTGCTTTGAATTCAACTTCATCGCAGAACTCTCATCTTAAGCAAGCAGGAAGGCGACTGTGGAAAGGAAAAACTTCTTCACGAGGAAGAAACATTTAGCAGAACCAGGCTCAGGACAAGCGACCATCTGCTTCAACCGGCTGGGTTTGGCTTCTGGTCAAATCCAGAATAGAATTCAAAATCTTACTTCTAACCTACAAAGCTCTCAACAACCTAGCTCCATCTTATATTACAGATCTTATTGTTCCATATTTTCCTAACAGAGCACTTCACTCTCAGACTGCAGGCTTACTTGCGGTCCCTAGAGTTTCCAAAAGCAGAATGGGAGGATGATCTTCCAGTTATCAGGCTCCTCTCTTGTGGAACCAACTTCCAGTTTCTGTCCATGAGGCTGACACATTGTCCAGTTTAAAGACTGGGATTAAGTCTTTTCTTTTTGATAAATCCTATAGTTAGGGTCAGCTTGTTATGATGCTATAGGTTTAGACAAACTGAAGGACAAATAGAGGACAAATTGACCTAATTTTCTTAAATGAATTGTTAAAATGGAAAACTTTCATTTGATACTATTTCTATCTTAACTTGTGATTCTTGACCTGCCATTGTGTATCTGTTCCAAAAAAAAAAAAAGGCAGACAGGCTGGACTGTTTTGAGGCTGCAGTGTTTGAACAAAGCAGCTGTATTCTCAGCCTGTTGAACCCTGGAGCAGAAGGAACTGGACAGCACAGCCTGACTTTGGTCTCCGGTCCTGGTCTCCAGATATAATTCTGTTTTGACATTCACATGGCAGGACCAGAACACGACAACAACTCAGACTCATTGTGGTGGAGAGAATACCTGCTCTGCTGTGTTTGGTTACTGTCGTGACAATAAACACGACAGTTCCTCACTAAGCCTAAAAATCCTTCCAGATCTCTTTATTTTGTCAGAATTGTTTCAAACACGGTGGTAATTTCACAGCAACGTTACTGCTCTCTGGTGTTCCTTTGGGAAACACATGACCTTATTGAAATCTGTTATAAATTCATTTTTTGAGCCCAGATGTTCCATATCCTAAAAGATGCATTCCTTTCGGTATGTATTTATTTTAGTCAACTCTCCTGGAAGTGGTGCGTTCACTGGAGCTGGACGTTGCTGTGCCGTTCCATCTCATCTCGTCCAACAAAATATAACGAGCAAAGCACACTCGGGTCGTGCCTGACTGAAGAGTATGATCAGTTTCACAGATGCAGGCTGTAGAATCACTCCGGAGCCGCCTACAGCTGACTTCTGTTGGCCCCAGCGAAAACTTGGCAACCCTCCATGAGGGACTTGTTTTCATCTACTGGTTCTGGAGGGTCCAATGAGCTGGATGGTCTTCCCAAAACTCCCAACTGGAATTTTTAGGAAATGTCCAAATATATTTTTTAATGTACTGATGTCCTTTTTATTGTTTGCCATAAAATATGTATTTTGTTGATTTTAGGGGTGATCATATACTTTTTTTTTTGTTGTTGTTTTTTTCCAGACAGAGTAAAAGTATTTTAGTTTGGGCACGTTCCAATACAGAGTATAGATATTTATACAGGTTAGTCTCATTGAGCCATGTAGTTGTTGAGCAGTAATAGATCGACTGTATCAACAAATATTCAAAAGAAAAGAGCTGCTGCCTCTCAGTGAGCAGGTTACACTGGTTCAAATCCCTGTCAGGGACCTTTCTGGGTGGTGTTTACATGTTCTGTCCGTGCTGTGTGGGTTTTCTCCAGGTACTCCAGTTTCCTCCCACAAACCAAAACATGCATGTTAGTCTGATTGGTAACTCTAAATCGTTCCTAGGTGTGAGTGAGAGAGTGAATGGTTGTTTTGTTTGTCTCTGTGTGTCCATGTGATGGACTGGAGACCTGTCCAGGGTGTCCCCCGCCTCTCACACAGTGACTGCTGGACATGGGCACCAGTGACCCATAAAGGAAGAAGCAGGTAAAGTTAATGGATGGATGATTTCAGTCCATCACTATGTTGCTGTTCCATCATTGATCCAGCAGATGGAGCTAGAAGTTCAAGCATTTCAATGCAGAAACAAAATAATAATAATAATAATAATAATGTCATCACAATGTCAGCACTGTATGTTTCCATACAATGGCGAAATTAGTCTCTGCATTTAACCCATCCACCACCAGGTGGTGCAGTGGGCAGCTATTGAAAGCGCCCGGGGGACATTTTGGGAATTAGACGTGCTGCCCAGAGACGCCACGTGATGTGCAGTGACTGGGGATCGAACCTGGGACTCTCGGGTCCCAAGCCGGCTGCCCTGCCTCTACACCATCTCGGCCCCAATACAAAATAAACAGAAATATTCTAAAAAAAATAAACCATATTTTTGTATTGAATGTATATGTACAAGTATTAGAATTATAAATGGTAAACTCCTTTGGGAGACATAAAATATTTTACTGGATTAGACACCAAGTTCTTATTAGTGTTAACTTATGATTTGTATATATGATTGTTTCTGTTGTGACTTGGTGCTGTCTAAATAAACTGAAGTGAATTATTGGTCGTCTTCCAGTGAGGGACTTGTTTACAGTGATGTTGTGTTTCTGCTGTGCAGAATATCACAAAATGTCTGAACGGTTGCCTCCCCAGCAGTATTTGGAGGATTATTGCAGGCTGAAGAGCTGAGCTTAACACCCACAGAGCAGAGATGACATGGCTTTTAATCCCCCGTGTGGACTCCATCTTGGTTTGTGAACCTGAGGAGCACAAATAGAACGAGTTCATAAAACAACTTTGGTAAATCGTTCTCTAAGAGCTCGTGTTGTAGGAGAGACACTACATTTGTCAGATCTTGCCCTTTATTTGATCATTCGGGCTCGATGCAGTCTCACTCCCAACCACGTGGAATAAATAGTAATGACTTCATTGTCACATTTTATATTTCCTAATTCAGATGACTCGATCTTTTGAAATGGAACGCAGCCCCGCCCTCTGATTTGGACCATTAAGCTCAAACGTTCATCATCGCTGCTGCTGTTTATTTTCATTTTATTAAACAGTTTACACCTTTTCTTTGCTGCAGGGGTGATGTACTTGTGTACGGCCGGTGTTGCACGTTAGGGGATTAACCAGCCAGGAGAATGAATGCGGAGGAAGTGGAGCTGCTGGGTGACTCCAAGTACAGGAACTATGTGGCAGCTGTGGACAAAGCCCTCAAGAACTTTGAGTACTCCAGTGAGTGGGCAGACCTCATCTCTGCGCTGGGGAAGCTCAACAAGGTACGAATGTAACGAGCCGCAGCCGATCGTGCTCGCATGTGTGGAGAGGGGTGCACTTCTCTAAACATGTGGTCCTCGTAGGTTCTGCAGAACAACGCAAAGTATCAAGTTGTTCCGAAGAAACTGACGATAGGCAAACGGCTGGCCCAGTGCCTCCATCCTGCCCTGCCCAGCGGGGTGCACCGGAAGGCCTTGGAGACCTATGAGATCATCTTTAAGATCATCGGACCCAAGAGGCTGGCCAAAGACCTCTTTCTGTACAGGTACGACTTCAGGGTCAGAGCCAGAACCAAAGGTTGGTCTCACTTTCTTCCGCTTCAGCATCAGTCGGCCTGTGTTCTTCTCCCTGCAGCTCCGGGCTCTTCCCTTTACTCTCCAATGCTGCCATGTCTGTGAAGCCGGTGCTGCTGGGGCTTTATGAGACCTACTATCTGCCCCTGGGAAAGACCCTGAAACCAGGCCTGCAGGGTTTACTGACCGGGGTCCTGCCCGGTCTGGAGGAGGGTTCAGAGTACTACGACAGGTAAGGAGAGCGTTCATGGAAAGAAAAACAGAAATCAGGATGATAACTGAGACACAGGACGTTTGTCTCTGTAGAATATTTTCTAGTTGTTTATGGGTTTTATGAGTGAGAGAACTGGCAGGAGGTGAAGTTGGACTAGATCTACTCGTGTTGTCTCAGTTTATTCAATAATATTTGAAGAGCAAACAGTGAATGAGATCTTCAGAAACGTGTTGATTCCACCTCCGGCAGGTTCTAGAGGGTTCTGCGTTCAGTTAGGCCACATTGGAGCGGGCCTAATGCAGAATTGTACAAACCTCCTTGAAGCTGCTTCTGTCTCTGTCACATGTCATTAATGAGAGCACCATTAATTTTAGCTCCTCTCTTGACCGTTTCCTCCAGATCTTTGCTGTTTCCTCTCGGAGGGAAGTTTTAATGATTTGGATCTCAGCTGAGCAGTATCTTCAGCCCGTGGGATGAACAGTCGAGCCTCAGTAAACTGTTAAAAACTAACTTTTAGAATGATGCTATTTTCTCGCCTTTTAGTTGTTTGGAGAAGGTAAATCCTCGAGCATGAAGAGCAGGTACAATAACTTCTGCTCATGAGAACATTTAGAGTCTAATGTCGTGTAAGCTAGAGGATCAAACCAGCTTTGTTTACCCTCATGTTATACAGAAATCTCTGTTAGTCAGCTTATTGTGACCATGTGTGACTCCAGTTAAATGAAACATTTACCCCTAAAATTAGAAATATAGATATCTTGGTTTTAGGTTGTAGAGACCAAACTCGATCTCCTGGGGGCTCCGGTGTGGGGTGCATCTTCCCGTCTCCTGGGTAACATCTCTCTTTCCCCGTCGTTCAACGATGGATTGTCTTTTTGATGCGAGTCACCCTGTTTCCTGCATCAGGCTCTGGTCTGGCTCAGGCTGCTCACACACCTGTGTCTCTGAACGTCCTGAGGTCCTGGTGTTCAGTTCTAAGGTTCTTGTGGCTCTGAGAATATCCGTATGGCCAAGTATGTGCACTAATACTATACTGAACTTGCGTACTGCAGTTGTTTGCAGTACAGTAGACCCTCGTTTATTGCAGGTGATAGGTTCCAAACCTCCCCGCAATAAGTGAAAATCTGTGAAGTAGTGCCATATTTATTTTAGTATATTAAGGCTTTAGAAACCCTTCCCACACTCTTGCAATGTTCAAAACTCTTAAACCTACATAATTTTAACAACATATGTACAGTACTGTATCTGTAGCTACTAAATTTTACTTACCAGGCCCTGCTGAACAGGAGCGGCTCTCAGTTCTGGTCCAACTGTTCCAGTCCAGCTCGGTTCGTTTCTGCAGACGTAACCTGCAGCGATGAAGTCCACAATGAATGTTCTAAACTCTTAAACCTACTAATTTTAACAGCATACTTATATGTAGCTACTAAATTTTACTTATCAGCGAGTCTCTACTTGGAGGTCCGCGTGGGCCGGTTGAAAGAGGTGAAAAAAGTCCCGATGGGCTCCAGATACAGCGCTGGACCTTCAGCATCGCACGTCTCGCTTGAAGTCCTTGTGGGCTGTTTTGGAGCTCTCTGGTTCACCGCTGACTGAGTCTAGGGGTCCGGTTCTGGTCCGGTTCAGTGCAGTCCTTGAGCGCCAAAGTGCATTTTGCGGGGAGGGGGACCTTCGGTTGGCCTGCGCAGGACCAGATGTGGTCAATTGAGTCCAAGTCTGGATGAAAAACGTCCTGATGGGCTCCGGAAACATCCCTGGACCTATGGCAGTGTGTCCCTGCTCGGAAGTCCTCGGGGGCTGAGTAGGTGCTCTCAAGATTCACTGATGGGTCTGGAGGTCTGGTTCTGGTCCGGTGGGTTCAGTGTGGCTCTCTGCATCCACTGGGTGCCGAAGTCACTGTGATAAATGCCAAACATTTTCCATTCAGATCAAAACTTTCCCTCTGGTTTTTCATTAGAAGGGAACGGGGCTTCTGGGCAGGGCCCTGTTGGCTTCTGGGAAATGTAGTTGTTATGAGTGGGAATACAGTGGAGTCTTATTGAGAGAAAACTACAAAATGGTGGTACCTGTCCGAGTTATTATATTTTTCGTTAACTTTTACTGTACAGTACTGTAGCTAGTACTGTCCCAATCATGCGAGTAATATTAAAGTTGACAATCATGTCTTGTACTTTATTATTTTATTTTTTTTTTTTTGATTGATGATATCAATGCACAGCTCCTTTAAACATGAGGTATTAGATGCACGGAGCAAGCGTCTGTTTAAAATAGCTTTGTCAAAGTTGCTCCTGACCAGATGTTTCCAGGTTGACCCCTGATGTCTCTGCTTCAGAACCAACACGCTGCTGGAGAAGGTGGCTGCAGCTGTGGAGCAGTCGGCCTTCTACAGTGCCTTGTGGGGCAGCATCCTGACCAGCCCCGCCGTGCGTCTCCCGGGGGTGTCCTTCGTTCTGCTGCACCTGAACAGGAAGCTCTCCATGGAGGACCAGCTCTTTGTCATGGGCAGTGACATTGAGCTCATGGTACGGGACAGATCTAAAAAAATTCTTCTCTGCAGCATCACATGCACGTTGCACCCATGATATTCTCCATTCAAAACAGATTTCATTCATTTCTGACAGCTTTCGAAGAAACTGGGATCAGAGTGGATCACGTGTGGTTTTTAACTGCACATAATGAACCTGTTGTTAGACAGAACACGGTCCAATCAGTTTGTCTTCTGAGCAGGTGGAGGCAGTGAGCACCTCAGTCCAGGACTCCAGTGTTTTGGTACAGAGGAGCACTTTGGACCTGATCCTCTTCTGCTTCCCCTTCCACATGAGCCAGGTGAGGAGCCCTCTGTGGCTCTTTGAGTAAAATGATTGTGTTTCAAAACCAAACCTTAAAGCTGTTCTTGCACTTGATGGGCACACAGTCTGGTCTGAACGTTTTTTCCAGTGTTCTCACTAATACTTGACAGTGGGAGACATTCTGCTGGTTATTTGTCTTCTAGATGTTTTAATGGGGGTGCTGGATGTAAAAAAAAAAAAAAAAATCACGAGAAGCATAGCTCACGTGTTCCAAAGGTTTGTGTGGTCGCGTGCCACCTCTGCAGAACATTTCTCTTGTGGAGATCTCTAGTTTCACACCTGCTTGTGTGAAAACGGCTCGTGTGAAATTAGCATTGCTGTTTTGTTGCATCAGATTCTGTCTCTGCACATTTCTGTTGACTTGAAGCTGCAGGTGATCGTGATGACTCTTATTCAGCTGACGGTCATCTTTGCTCTTTGTTCAGTCTCCTTCAAAACATTTTGTGGATCTGTCAGAGCTGGGAGACATGCTCACCTGATCTGTGTGTGTTGCGTTCAGGCTACTCGCCCCGACATGATCCGGATCCTGTCGGCAGCTTTGCACGTGGTTTTAAGAAGAGACATGTCCCTGAACCGCAGACTCTACGCCTGGCTGCTGGGTGAGAAACTCCCTCCAGGACATCACTCCTCCTCTTTCAGTGTCAGACATCCTTCTTATCCTGTGATTACTAAATTATAGGATTTAAGTAACACAGACTTATCCTACAGCCCAGAGACCAGCTAAGTTGGGATGTTTAAAATGTAAATAAAAACAGGATGCAGTGGTTTGCAAATCTTATGAATCCATTTGTTCACAATAGATCTTAATAAATGTTACATTTATGAACTACATTTGATCAATATTAGGATAAAAATATGGTCCGTTTAACTTTTATGGCCGCAACATCTAAATGTGAGGGCTGGTCCGTGTGTCCCTCTGTGAGGCATCTCGTCTTCTTTTAACACCAACTGGAGACCAGTTCTTGTTGTTTTTGCTGGAGGTTGTTGTCCCGTTCTTGACTGATGTAGGATTTGATCTGTTCAGCAGTCCGGTGTCTTCGTTGCATTTCTTTTGTTTTGTTCGTTTCATTACGCATCAAATGTTTTTAATCGGTGAGCAGTCTGGACTGCAGGCAGGTCAGGTCAGCAGCTGGACTCTTGCTGTACGAAGCCAAGCTGCTGTGATGGACGCAGTTTGTGGTTTAGCATCGTCTTGCTGTTTGATGCTAGGTCTTCCCTGAAATAGACATTGCCTGGATGGGAGCAAAAGTTGTTCTAAAGCCTGTATATACATTTTTACATCTATGGTGTTGTACCAGATGTGTAAGATGCTCATGTCATGGGCACTAATGCAACCCCATACCATCAGAGAGGCAGGCTTTTGAACTGTATGTTGATAACAGGCTGAATGGGCCTTCTACCCTTTAGTATGGAGGACTGGGTGGCTGTGGTTTACAAATAGACCATTTTAAATGAGCTCTGATCGTGAACGATGGCAGCGTTTCTGGATGTTGTTCACACGTGACTTCTTCTTTGTATGATAGAGCTTTAATCAGGATTTGTTAGGGGTGCACTGATAAATTGGCCGGCCAATTTATCGGCCCTGATTTTCTTAATTTTTGGGAAATCAGAAATTGGCTGATGCACGAGAAACCGATTATCGATTTTATCGATTTTATTTTTATTTTTTTAGTTTTAACAACATTTGTCTAAACTTCATTTATATTTCAGAGCACTACCTCATGGCCAGTTAAAACAAGTTAGTATTGTTTCTAGGATATTGTTCAAGGGTATGTTTTTCAATAAAATAATATTGTAAAATTGAAGGTGCATTGTGACCTTATAACACCTGACAGTGTCGCTTAGAAAACAAAATTGGAATCGGCAGGTCAGACTTTTTAGAAATCAGTGATCGGCCAGAAAGCTGCAATCAGTGCACCCTTAGTATTTGTGGATGACACAGTGAACTGTTTGTAATTCAATATTTGGATATTGAAGTTTTTACAAATTTTTCCTCAAGGCACATTATATTGAAATTGTTCCACTATTTTTAGGAACTGTATTTTCCCCCCAGACTGGTGAACCTCTGCCCATCTTTACGTCTACAATGCTCTTTTTATACCCAGTCCTCTTACTAACCCGTCGTTTTAAATTAACCCTATTAGTTGCAAACTATTTCTTATTACCACCAGTTTCTTTTAGTCTTTGTTGCTGCTGAAACAACCTTTTTGAGATGTGTTGCCTTTATTAAGTTCAAAGCTACCTCCCCCTTTTAAAAATATAATACTTTCTAAGTTTTTAAACTTGGATATGTTTACTATGATTCATTGTAAATCAAAGAGGGGTTTATGAGGTGTACAAATCACTGCATTCTCTCCTAATTTACGTTTGAAATGACATCCCAACTTTGTTTAAATTAGGGTGGTACAGAACAAGCATGGGTTTAAAAAGACCTGCCCTTTATTTGCTGCAGCCTCAGTGTTTGTAGGTGTGAAAGAGACAAAACTAGTTGAGGGGTCACACTCGTGTTTTAAATGGTTCTGCTCTGTGACATTGTACTCTCGGTATTCCCACTGTAGTGTTTTTGGTTTAAAACTAGTCTTAATTTGTTTTTCTTCATTTGTTGCTCACTGTGGATGAACACGCTGGTGAGTACGAGACTTGACGAGACATTAAAACCTTAAAGAGAAAGACATTAATGGATACCTGAAACCTTCTCAGAGTTAGATCCTCTGAACAATAGTTTTTCCTCACCTCTTGAACTTTTAGATGAACTGTTCGTGATTCTAATTCTGTTTGTTCTTTGAAGGCTTTGACAACAACGGGGGGACGGTAGGCCCCCGCAGCACTCGACAGAGCAACCCAGAGGAGCAGGCCTCCCACTACTTCAACAGCTTCTCTAAGGACATTTTAGTCCAGGTGAGCTGTCAAGCTAAATGCACAACCAGGTCAGCACTGGCTTCCAAAATAATCCCCAACTGACGCCTCCAGAGAGGACGGTGGACAAGCGTTTGTTTGTGGGCTCTGGCTTGTAAAGGGCAGATTTGAATGCTTCTGTGTGTTTAACAACTTATCCTTCCGCCTGCTTTGGGTTTACTGTTCGTCCTGCTTCTGTTCCCGGCAGTCTCTCAGTTCTCATGAAACACTTGATGTTGCTAGCTAGCTGTGTTTGTGTTTGATTCACCCTGGTACTCCAGGGGTTAGTTGGCATTTTTGAAAGTATTTCCTGTCTCTGCCATCTGCTCTGAGGTGGTCACTGAAGGTCCTGGAATAGGAAGAATGAAGGTTACTGCAGGGACCGTCTGTCTGTAATGCTTCAGTCAGTTAGGATGCCGATGAAGCATGAAGAGCAATCGAAGCACATCAGTGGAAACTTGATATGTTTTTATTTTTAATACAAGCTATTTTTCCCTGCAGTGTGTCAGATTTGGTGATCAGAGGTGCATTTGTTTGTTTTTAGGCAATGGTTGGAATCCTCCAGGGTAAGGCCCGAGGTGGAGAGGAGGAGAGCATCCTCATGCACGACCTCAAGCCTTTTCGCATCCTGATCAGTCTGCTGGACAAACCGGAGCTCGGTAACAAGAAGTTTTATGTGTGGAGGCGACGCAGGGCGCCCGTGATGTGACCAGAAACTGATGTTACATCTGCCCTCGTATCCTCACGCCACATCTTTACTCTGCCCTCGTCTCTCCAGGGCCAGCCATCCTGGAAGATGTTCTGATTGAGGTTTATCGGACTCTGCACACGCAGTGCAGAACAGAGTTAGATCTCCAGAGCCAGAGTCCGTTCAGCAAAGACCACACACACCTCAGCAGGTGAGTCAGACTCATGGACTGTTCAGAATCCGTCTATTATCTTTACCTGCTTCTTCCTTTTTGGGTCACGGGGGTCACTGGCACTTATGTCCAGCATTTACTGTGAGAGAGGCGGGAGACACCCTGGACAGGTCTCCAGTCCATCACAGGGACACATGGAGACAAACAAGACAAACAACCATTCACCCTCTCCTAGAGACAATTTAGAGTCACCAATCAGCCTAACATGCATGTTTTTGGACTGTGGGAGTAAACCGGAGTACCCGGAGAAAACCCACGCATGCACAGAGAGAACATACAAACTCCACCCAGAAAAGCCCCCGTACGGGATTCGGTCCAGCAACCTTCTCACTGAGAGGCTGTACCAACTGAACCCCTGTTCAGACACATTATTGGATAAAATTAAAAGCCCATGCTGCAGTTTGGTTGTTGGCTCGTATGTTTTTTTATTTCCAAGCACGCAGCATGCACATGAATCACTTCTTCTTACTCTCAGATCATTGGGAGGGTTTCCTTCGTGGCACTGATGACACCTGCAAAGATGTTGACGTGTCTTCTGGTCCTAGGAGATGAGGGGAAAAAAAAAACATCTTTGTGGGAAATATCCGTTGTCTCTATTCTCTGAAGTCATCAAGTCCCATAAGGGGAAAAAAAGATTTATATTATTATATAAATGTTAAATTATAACTTGAATGATTTATTTACAAAGTGTGCAGCTTTTCTCATTACTGTGTATTATCAGGGCTTCTTAAAAACATTTACACAGCCTCTTGGTCTGAAAAATGTGTTTGTTTGTTTTTTGGTTTTGTTTTAGTTTGCCTCTGTTTTTACTAATTATGCTGTTATTAATATTAAAATAATTTCTGACAAAGTCAAAAATTAGAATTTTCAAACACAACAGCCCTCATAATGTGAATGTTTACTTGTCAAAATGTGAATACAGTGATAAAACTGCTAAAGCATGACAATTTAAGGGTGTTTTTTTTAACCTTTATTTAACTTTGTTATATTAAAAAGTGTGATATTTAAAAAAGGTATTATTTTGCACAGTACAAAATACCTTTTAAAAGTGCCTTTTTTATTTGCCAGACTGATTTCTGACTTAAATTAATTGTCATTATAGTACCAAGATTATAAAATATAAAAAGTCATAAAGGCCATAAAATGGCCATAAATATTTTCTCCAAATATTGGTCATGACTCATTCACTTAATATAAAAAATGTATTTTTGCCTTCATATTTAGTTTCAAGGTGTTATCTTTTAAATATAATAACACAATACGTGTTTAGACAATTTAAATGTTCTATAAAACTCTCTGGGCCCCTCTTATGGCAGCCCTGTGCTCCACAAATATGGGCTGTGGTAGGTCGATGGTTGCATCAAGAAGGTCATCCATCGCCAACTCTTCATGCTGTGGTGACCCCTGGGGAAGGGAGGAGATAAAAAATAATAATTAAATGACATTTATCACAGTAGTTATGCTACATAATGGTTCCAAATATAAACGAGCACATCCAAACATTCTAACCCTTGTTTATTTTGCTATAATGTGTAGAATTGATATTTATGATGCATTACAAACATTTGAAGCTGACGCTCTCACAGACTGAACTTCAGGAGTTTTAGAATAAATTTATTAAAGTCAAACAGAGAGGCACCTTTCCTACAGTGTTGGGTATACAAATATGTAGTATATATATTTTTGTGAGGGTTAAAACGGTATCATTCCAAGAACACAGCAGGCTGGGTGCACTCCAGCTGCAGCTCATCCCTTGGCAGCGCTCCCTCTCGGCAAGTGGGAGTTTGATCATGTGCTCAAGTCGGATATGCGTGTACTCTAAT